CCCCCCCCCCGGGCACCCTGCCCACAGCCCCACCCCGGGTGCCCGCACACCTTCATCTTGCGCAGCCGGGACTTGTTGTCGTGACACCAGGCCAGGCAGGTGGCCGTCTCGCGCCTCTCCAGGGACTCCTCCACTTCTTTGGCCGTCAGGAACATCTCGATGTTCACTAAGTCCTTAGGGGAAGGAAGCGGTGTGCGCTCAGAGCACTGGACACCCGGACCCCAGCCCCAAGTCCACTGATGCCCCCCACGCCCCAGCACACCCAACCCGGCCAGCTCCGGGGCTCCCTCCCTGAGCGCCACCCCCCCATGCCCCAGCACACCCCACCCGGCCAGCTCCGGGGCTCCTCCAGGGCCAGGACGAGGGGCAGGTCCGCAGCGGGGAGGCGCGCAAAGCATTCAGATACAGTCTCCCAAGCTAAAACCCCAATCCAGAACCTTACCCCCCACCCCAGCAGCGGCCTGACCCCGTTCCACCCCTTCACAATCAGGCCTGGGAGCCCCGGCAACCGGTACCCTCGTTTTTATTTTGTGTATTTTCCTCTGAAGATCTATTTGAGATTCTGAGAAGGAGCAGAGAGGGCCGGTGGGGGGGCAGGGCCGTGTCTCTGCTGCCGTTTGCTCTTCTCCCCCGTTTCTCTGATGCCTGTGGAGCCGCATCTACTGAGCTCTGGAGGATCCAGGCAGGGCCAGGGACCCGGGGTCACGACACCCACACGGTGCCCAGGGCCTGCCAGTCCCCAGCAAGCGGCTGGCCGTGGAGGCGGGAAGAGATGGTGGACGCCTGCACACCACCCAAGGGGGGGAAGCCATTGGAAAACAAATTTCAGAGGGTGTCTCCCCCATCCGGAACTAAAGACCAGCTTCTCAGCGACGGAGGGGAAGCATCCAACACAAAGATCCCTTGAATCCTCTGCGGCCAGTGGGCGCGCGCGGTGCGGCCGCCGTGTTCCTGCGACCGTTCCTGCGGCCCGCAGGCAGCCCCACTCGGGGCCCCGCCCCACGGCAAAGCGCAGCACAGGGCAGCCTTCCTGCCGTGCTGTCTCCACCTCAGGTCGCCCTGGGCCAACCGAGTCAGGAGCCCACCACAGAACTTGCAGTGTCTGGAGAAGGACCACCGTCCCTCTGCTGAGTGCAGCGCAAGGCAGGAGCTTTCAAGGAAGAGGAAGCATCGCGAAAGCCAGCAACGCATCTACACCCGCGGTAAGCAGCACGTGAGGGCCAACAATGCCCCCGTTAAAACCAGACGTTCATACAAAACTCACAGGGAGAAATACTCATCAGAGCGCCGTTCCGCGCGACCGGGGCCCAGCCAGCACAGACACTGCGCGGGCCCCGACCCGAAGGGCAAGGGCTGTGCCGCCGTCAGGGTCGGTGCCGGCCGATGACCGGCGGGCTCGCCGGCTCCGTACGCCAGCTCAGTGGCAGGCAGGCCGGGCTGGGCCACGCAAGGGCCTCTCCACCCAAGTCTCCCGGAGCCCCCAGACGGATCCCCAACCTCACTAGGCCTGGCCGTCACGCAGGGGTGGGCCTCCCCGGTCTTCCTGGCCCCCCACCCCCCACCCTCCTGACATGAGCTCTGGCAGTAAGTGCTGGGCACTGAGGCGCCGAGTCATCTCAGAGATCCGCTGGCTGTTCTGGTGAACCACTTTTTTGGCCATCGCTCTGGCATTTTCTTCTCTTTTCTAGAACCTTCCTGCAGGGAAACGCTGGGTCTCCTACATGAGGATCATCTTTCTCTCCTATTTCCCATTTCTGGTTTTCAGTTTTGCTCTGAATTCTGAGGCAGCCTCTCCTGCCTGCACCTCAGGGTCCACCCGTCCTGGGTCTGCGCAGCCTCAGGGTTTGGCTCTTTGCCAACTTTTTCTTTTCCACCGATGGTGCCTTGGATGTCCACGGACCCTGGGGTGTGGGAGTCACACCAGAAGACGGGAAATCACACCAATCAGGGGTCGCCCCACATGAGACGCCAGCACCGTGATTTCTAATGCAGATGGACACGAAGACATCACCGGGGACAGGCCTCTCCTCCAGGACCAAGGCTCTGTGTGGGGCACACAGCCCCCATCTGGGCTGACCCGGTGCGCTCGCTCTCCGTGGCGTTGGACAAACAGAAGTTTTAAATGTGAATGAACCCTGATACATCAGCCTCTTCATTGGTGACCGCACCCCATCCGATCGTCAGGAGCCCTCACCCCACCCCAAGGACCTGAGGGTCCCCCTCTGCTTGCTTCTAGAAGCAACCTTAATTTCTATCCATAGCTGTGAAGCTGGGGCTTCCGCATGGGAATCTCGCAGTGCCCCCTTCACAGGGTGTCCCAGGTCGCACCACCGCCATCACACAGAACAGCTTCCCACAGGCCTCCTGGCTCCCCCATGCCCCCCATACTCTGTTCTGCACAGAGCAACCAGAGTGAGCCTGTTAAAGCAATGCTTCCAACTCAACCCCCCTACGGCACACCCGTCTCAGTTGAGGGGAAGCCCTTCCACTCTATGAGTTCTGCACATGCTCAGACCCCCACACCCCAGTACAGGGCAGCTCCCAGGCCTGTCCCGGGACCCTCCCCTCATCTCTGCAAGCCCACCCCAACCAACCTTCTGAAAATCACCAGCCCTCCTGCCCTTTTGCCCTATGCACCCCTGGAAACAGTCCTGTTTGACCTCCTGCCTCTCTCCCCTTCAAAGCACACGTTCCTCGAGGCTAGGAGCATCTGGCCACACCCTCACAGGGGCAGGAAGAGAGGAGTGCGGGCTATCTGTGGGCACCCATGTGACCCCTGCAGATGCACGGCTGTGCCAGGGAAAACACAATGACCAGGGAGCCCATCAATCAGGTACACGCTGGCCATGCTGGGCAGGGCAGGAGGAGGGTGGAAGGAGCAGGGCCGAGGGACCACTGGGTGCAGAGTGGAGACCGGTGGGCCGGGGAGGTGGACACTGCCCGAGAGCAGAGGGGCAGCCCGAAGGCTCAAGTAAGGTGCGCATGGGTCTGTGAAGCCCTGGTAAGGGGAGGGAGGGCACTGGACGCCTTCACCACTGCCGAGCAGCCTTCCTCCCGAAGCTCCACGCTTAACCGGCTTGCCCACGCACTGAAGGCCAGAGCATCGTCTGTGTCTACAGACGGGTGGAAAACGCACCCTCCCCTGGGCACCAGTAAAAACAGTCACGGGAGGGCGGGTACTGGGAGGGAACGACCCCTCCCATGGGCTTCCCGTTAGAACAGGCTGCAAGCGAGAAGCACCCAGAGCCGTCGCCGTGGTTCAAACACACTAGACCTGGGGCACGTGTGCGTGATCAGGGAGGCCCGCCCCCGGAGGCCGCAAGAGGCCGCGCGCCCACCTCGACGCCGCTCTGCCGGGCCAGCTTCACAGCCGTGTTGTAGTACCCACAACGCAGCAGGTGCTCCACCATCATGCGGTCCATGCGCTTCTTCTTCCACAGGCTGGCCGCCGCCGGCTGGTCGCTGCTGTGCTCCTTGAGGTGCTCGATCCTGCGCTTGCACAGCTTGGCGCTCTCGTCCTCGGCCTGGATGGACTCCACCGCCTGAGACGCAAGCACACAGGGGTTCAGGGTGGGACGGTGACCCGGCTGCCCCTACCCTCACCCTCACGAACAGGGCGACACGGGGGGATGTCCCCGGGCTGGGTGACGGAAGCAAAAGGGGGAGTCGTCCCCCCCCCGCCCACCGCCCCGAGGCCGGTTTGGCTGCACCTGTCATCACCCAGAGGCAAGTCAACACCGACCACTCTGGGTCTGCACCTTCTTTTCAGCAATGTCACCTTTTACTTTACGGAGTCTGGAGCTATGCTGCCACATACGCATAATTTTGAATTTGTTACAGCTTCCTGATTAATTAAACCATCTGTTGTTATTTTGCGACTTTCTTTTATAATACTTTTTCCCTCAAAGTCAAGTTTGTTCAAAATTAATACAGCTCCGCAGACGTGTTCTGTATCGGCGCTGGCCGGACAGCAGCCAACCGTCCAGCACCTGACCGTGTAGTCGGTGCCGCCGAGGGGCCGCATCGCAGGCTGATTCACCGTGGCGTCCACCTGGCTGGCGGTGCGCAGGCTCACCCGGCTCCCTGGCCGGCCCGCCTTTCCCTCGAGCACACGCCACGGCTTTCTGGCTGCCAGGGTATTTGTCGCTCCTTTGGAAGTGGTTTTCTTCATCCAGCTGCTTTTAAGATTTTTTCTCTTTTCGGTTTCACGATGTGCAATCCTAGGTTTATTTTTATTTATCCATCAGTTCTGAAACTCTCGGCCACTCTTCCCGTGCCCTCTGGACTTTGGTTGAACACGGTCTCCACTCTAGTCTCTGAGGCTTCCCACCCTCTTATGTAGTCCCGTGTTTTTAGCTCTGTCTGCGGCTAGAATTTCTAGGTAATTTCCTCATGCCTACCTTCCAGCTCACAAATTCTCTCTTGAGCTTTGTCTGATTGTTAAATGTTAAAAAGTGTGTTATAAAAGCAAACATTTGAGTTTTTCATTTCGGTTATTATACTTTCAATTTCTTGAAGTTTTATTTGGTTTATTTTAAACTCCCAATCACACTTTATACTTTATGTCCCCTGCAACGATTCTCAGCTGTCTGTCTGTTTACTCTTCAGACGCAGTCAAGTCTGGGCCCTGATAATCTCTACGTCTGAAATCTGGGCGGTGTCTACTGTCTCTGCCGCACCTCAACCACAGCATCCTGTGCACCTGGCGATCCTCCGTCAGACCCCTGACGCTCTGACGGACGGTGTCCTCCCCCTGAGAAGTGCACTTGGTGAGGCCCCACCAGCTGGGACCACTTACACCAGGCTGAAGAGAAGGGTCCTGGCTCCCCCGGTGTTCTGAAACGGGCCGTGATGCTCTGCCACAGCGCGTCCACTCCTGGGGCACCCCCACCTGACACGGACCGCCACCAGGTCCCACCACCAGCCCTGGCCTCCCCCCGCCCCCCAGCTGGCCCCGGGCACTGGCCAGCAAGGCAGCCATGGGTCCTGCCCTCCTCGCCTCTTGGCCCCTGCCGTCCAATTCTGGTGATAAACTTTCGTCTCATGAGCCCTTTGATACGTTCAGTAAGACGCTGTAAAGTATCTTGCTGCGTTCTCTGGGTTATTCGGTGGGCACAGCAGTGCACCCTACCTCCCTCTCCCAGAAATGAGAAATTTCCTACATGAAGCTTTGAGGGGAAATTCTAAAAGTAGTAAATCATCTGCCTCCTATCTGCGCTTGGGACACTCTGGAGTGAGGACAACCCAGCCCTGCAGGAGCAGGAGCATGGGACTGGAAGCAAGCCTCCAGCCCCACAGGGGCTGCAGAGCACAGACAGCATGGAGGGACTCGCCTTGCCCACACTCTGGCCGTAGGAGCCCACCTCCCCATCGCAGGGCTGCCTGGTCTCCGCTGTGTCCCGGCTCCCACAGAAGACAGCCCCTTTTTGGGACTGCCTGGGTACATGGGAAGGCTGGGCCGCTGGACGCACGCTATGGCCCACGCATAGGCAGGCAGGCAGGACGGTCCAGAAGCCACACTGACCTTCCTCTTGAGGACGCTGAGCTTCTCCACCACACCATCCAGAAGGCTGACCACGGAGTCCACAGCGGGGCAGCTGCTCAAGGTCTTCTCCAGCTCAGCCACCACCATGGTGACGTGGCTCGTCTCTCGGTCAATGTTTTTCTGAGCAGCCCGAAAGCGTTTATTCAGTGTTTCGTAGGGCACCTGGAGAAGGGAGGTAATTGGTGTGTGAGCACCAGCAGTCCTACGTGTGGGACACCCAGACCCCCTTTGTGGCGTTTTGTCAGGCACAGGTCCTAGGCCTCTAGTGCTCTAAAGACACGTCTACTCTAACACCTGACTGAGGCCCACAGAAGCCCTGTGTGAACGGAGGGTCATTTGTGTTCCTGGATGCGGACACTAATGGGAAGACGCATACTGTCCCCAAATCCACAGAGGCAGCGTTAAGGGCACACTAACAAAATAATCCCAAAGTTCATCCAGAATAACAAACAGCTTAAGGAGATGACCAAAATGAGATCCATCAGATGTGAAAGCCTGCAGGGGCCTGCAATGGGCCCGGGGGGTGCCACAGACTTGGGACCCCGGGAAGGGGGCGCACAGACGGGTTGGGGCCTCAGCCCATCAGCAGAAACCACAGGTGCACATCTAACGCCTCTCAATCAGACGGTGCTCATTCGCCCCAGTGACAAAACCACCTTTCCCTACAGAACACCTGACAAAAGACCCAGGAAGGATGACATGTCACTGTTACCCTTCTGTCCTTCCAGAGAGAGTAGCTGCCAGCACTCCTCCCGGCCCTCGTCCTGGCTGTGGGTCTAGCACTTCGCGCTCATCAGATGCTGCTCACGCGGCGTGGACACCCCGGTGGCCAGCGGTTCACCGTGGAAGTCCTCACTGCCGGCTCCAACAGCTGCCAGGCACCAATGTGTGCCAGGGAGGAGCCTGGGATTCCCAGGAGCAGAGATGCCGACGGGACCTAGACACCAGCAAGGGGACCCTGCAGCAGGACTTCCCCATGACCCGGCCAGGGGTCCAGTACTGTCCGTGCCCCAGCTGCCACCCCCCTCAGGCTGCCCTGGGGACACGGTGGCAGTGGGTAAAGAGTCCTGTCCACACCTCGAGTCTTACCAGCTCAAGAGGCAGAATGCCATTAGACAGACCACGTATGCCACCCAGGGAGGGCTCATCCCCAGCAGCCAGGTCTAGTAGCCTTTCCTGCAACCACGCCACAGTCTAGCACAAGCAAGACAGGAGAGTCTTTAGATGAAGCCAAAGGGCCATCCTTAACGTGGAGTGGCACAGAGCACCCGCAACACCCATACAACCGAGGTCCACCACCTAACCAGGCCTGTCCTGGCTTCAATCCCTGAAGAGCCTCCCACTGTGGCACGTGGACAAGGGTGAAGCTGCGAGCAGGTGGCCAGGCTCAGACACAAGCCCTGTCCTCCACGTCCAAAGGAAAGGGCTCCCTGCCCTGAGCCTCAGTTTTGGCAAACGTACCTCATAACAACACAGCACAGCACAGCACAGAGACCCAGGTGCATGCATCTGCTAGACCCCTCCTGGACAAGAGGCCAGGCGGGTGGTGGGACGCTGATGCGCGCATCCTCCCTTTCGGAATCTTGGACTGTTCTCAGAGCCCCCACCCACCCCAGGGGCCCTGCAAACCGTCTGCTCCAGGGTAGGTGTGTGCTTCCAATCTGACCTGGCGGACACTTTCATAAAACACAATAAACAGAATTACTGAAAAGTGAACTGAAATCCCATGATGCCCGCTAACAACAGCTTCCAAGTTTTATTCTGATTCAGACATTACAATTACATTTCAAGAAATACAATCAAAGCAACCATAACATAGGAAAAGAGAAAAAGCCATACACCACACACACCGTCAGCCCAAGCACACGCAGGTGACGGGAACGTCCCCGACTCCAGGCAGCTGAAATCCAGGTGAGCAGCAGGTGAGCGCCGTTATACACGCAGCAGGTCTCCCTGTGGTCAACGTACCCAGGCTCAGTGAACACCAGCACGGGACTCCCTGGACTCTCAGGTCCTGCCTTCTGCTCATGACACTCGGCCTGAGGCTCATCCCTCAGCCAAAGGGAAGGCAAAAGGAGACTCGGAAGCAAGCGCTACAGGCTTGGTCTCCATGTTTAACTTTTATCCAAAAAGGAAGCAGGCAACACTCTAATATTCACCTTCAGTCCATTATCGATATCCAGGCCCAGCAATTTATACTGTAAGGTTACAGTCCATGTTAATTCCTCTATCTTTTGATAAAAGAAACTAAGTCAGGACTTTGTACACTTCTTGGGGGCTGTGAGCCCCACTGTGCTCTTCACCACGTGGCCTGCGTCTTCCCCTGGACCTGAGTCAGCCCCTCAGCCTCCACTCCTGAGAGTCTGACCTCCCAATGGCCCGGATAGGCGCTTTCTATGGCTACTCTTCCCACCCAAGGACTCACGAGCTGCCCTCGGTGCTCCAGCCCCACACCCAGTCACAAGCTCCACAGGGCGGAGCTCTCAGGACCTCACCTTCTGCTGCCCACACCCCGACCTGTCCTGTGCCCCCCACCGGCCTGGAGCTCCCAGAATTTACGCCCAGAGCACCACCCCCACCCCCGGAGCTCCCAGAATTTACACCCCGGGAGCACTAAGCAGCCTCCTGTGCCAGCTTCCGTCCCATGGACACCAGGCAGCTAGCCTCGGAAAGCTGCTCAGCGTTCTGCCCACGGGGCACCCAGCCTGGGGTCTTGCCTCCCCTGCCTTTCCCCAGCTATCCCTTGCTGCTCAGTCACCAGCAGCTCTTTCACAGGCTCCTCCCAAAAGGACTTTTGCCAAATGAAGGAATGGAATTTCAGAAATGCTGAAGATCCTGAACAAGCCAAACTATCATTCCAGAAGAAGGGCAAGATTAAGATACTTCTGGACATGCAGGGACTGCCAAGGTTAGCGCCCACAACCCTTTTCTGGGAGGAAAATTACTCAGAGAGCCCCTCGGTGAGACAAACAACAAAATCAATGAGAGGAAATAAGATACAGCAAAGGGCAGTGAGGAAGGACACCAGTAAACGATACAAGCTAGAGGGAAAGAAACCAATCCACAGCCTAAGAAATGTGGGTAAAGTGACTCTAAGTCCAAGGGATTTTGAAAGAATTCCAAAATAGAGGCAAATATTAAAATGTAGTCTTAAAAGCACAGGCAACAAAACCAAAAGCAGACAAATGGGATTACATCAAACATGAGACTCGTGCGAAGCGAAGGAAGCGATCTGCAGTGCGCAGCCCAGGATGGGGAGGGCACCCGGTGGAACACGCTCTGGTACCCGGGGCAGGCGGAAAACACCTCCACAGCAAAGACACAACACCTAACCAAGGTGGGCAGACATTTCTCTGAAGAAGATACACAGTGGCCGACCCGCACGGGGAAAGGTGCTGAGCGTCACCAAGCATCAGGGAAATGCGGGTCAAAGCCACGGGCAGACCCCACCCCACAGCCCGCAGGACGGCTGCTCTCAAAGGAGCGGAGACCGACAAGCCTCGGTGAGGACGTGGGGCGCAGCCGCCGTGGAAAACACCGTGGAGGGTCCTCAAAACACTAAGCACAGAATGAGCCCACGGCCCAGCCATTCCACGTCTGGGTGTGTTCCCCGGAGAACGGAGAGCAGGGTCTCGATGAGATGCCGGAACCCCCGTGTTCACGGCAGCATCATGCCCAGCAGCTGGGACAGGGAAGCACCCCAGTGTCCGTGGACGGGTGGGCAGACTACCAAAATGTGGTGTATACACCCAATGGAATGTTATTCAGCCTTACAAAGAAGGAAATCTTACCATATGCTGCAACATGGATGAACCTGCAGGACATTATGCCAAGTGAAATAGCCAGTCACAAAAAGACTAAACTGTATGATTCTTCTCCCGTGAGATACGGAGAGCAGCCAAACGATCAGAAACAGAAGGAAGGAGGGAGGCTACCGGGGGCTGGAGGAAAGGGGAGGGGTTTAATGGTGCAACAGACTGAATGTGTCCCCACCCTCATAACACACAGACAAAAATGCTACCCGCAACGGGACGGCATACGGGGATGGAGCTCTGGGAGGTGACCGGGTTACAAGGGTGCGGCCCTCATGACTGGGATCAGCATTCTTCTAAAAGGACCACTGGCTGTCTTCACCACATGGGACGCATGAAGAGGCCCTCACCAGAACCAGACCACCCTGGCACTCCTGTCTTGGACTTCCAGCCTCCAGGACTTGGGAGAAGAACTTTCTGTTGTTTATAAGCACCCAGTCAACCGCACTTTTAACTGATCAACACAAACGTGTACATAGTTCCAGCTGTGCATGCTGAAAAGTTCTAGAGACCTTACATGCATACAGCTAATACTGCTGCACACTTAGAAGTGATGAAGATGGTTGGTTTCACGTTATGTCTGACCACAGTAAAAAAATATTCCTACGACGCTGATAATACATGGCAACGGTATCTGATTCCAACAGCTACCATGAAGCTATATCGAACGAGACAGTGGGGCCCTGGTGCCGCTGTGCACCAGGATCGGTGCGGGGCGGAGAGCCCAGAAACGGACCGCCAACCAAGGAGCCCAGCAACCCAGGGCAGAGAGGACCTGCTCCGCAACAATGCAGAACTGGACAGCCACATGGGAGAGGGAGGACCTCAGCCCGGACCTCACTCGGTCCAAAAAAATTCTTAAATGGCCACGGACTCAAACGTCAAAGCTAAAACTATAGAATTCTAGATGGGAACATAGGAGAAAACCTTCACAACCTTAAGTAGGCAAAGATTTCTCACAGGGATACAGAATGCACTAACTATAAAAAAAAATTCATTAATTAAACCTTATCAAACTAAAACTTTGAAAGACAATTATTTAAGACAAGCCACAGACGAGGAGAAAACATTCAGTGTATGTAAACCTAACAAAGGACTTATATCTAGAACGTATTTAAAACTTACAACTCAAGACCAAGAAGACAATCCCATTTTTAAAACGGGCAAAAGGTTTTAACAAAAAGTCACAAAAGAAGATATATAAAAGGCTAATAATAAAGACACATAACATCATTAGTCAGAAATATGCAAATTCAAGCCACAATGGGACACATGAGGGTTAGCTGTATGTGTTGTCAAGCTGACCAGGCCACACGGTGCAGACACAGGGTAGATGCGGCTCTGGGTATG